TCTTTGGAACGGGTTTTCGTGGGACAGCCGTATCAGGTAGGAGTGTCGTTTGTGAGTGTTAAAGTGGTGGCGGGGTATTCGGGTGTCGGGGCGTCTTCGCCCCGGCCTGAACGGTCTGGGTCTACGGACATGGGGGTGGAAACGGAGTTGCAACCTTCGCTGCTTCGGTTTTTATCTCCGGTGACGGAAGTCACAAAACTTGGTTGGATACGGCAAAGTATAACGGAGGAACACACTTACTCCATCTTCTGGAAAGGGGACCATCCCCTTCGCCGTCTGCGTCCACCTGAATTGCATGTGGTTTTGCGGGGGTATTTCCCTAATCTGGAGAAGATACTGGACGTGCGTTATACGCGAAATGGTCTACTTTTGCTAAAAACGTTAGATCCGGACATGGCGGAGACGGCCCTTGGGGTTACGTCATTGGGGGAAACGCCGGTACGCGGACGGCTGGCCCAAGACTGTGTATCTACGGGCTACGTTATACGGGGAGTGGATACGGCCATATCAGCGAAGGACATTCATGACGTACTTGAGGAGGAGGGAGTGCCGATACTCGAGGTTCGGCGGTTTACTCGGAAGGTGGAGGGTGTCATGGAGCCTAGTACTACAGTGTATTTGTCGGTGGCCAGTGTCATACCGCTGGCATTTGTGAAATTATATTATCAACGGTTTCGGTGCGAACGATTCTACCCCCGGCCTCGGCTGTGTTTGCGGTGTCTAAATTACGGTCACGGGCGGAATACTTGTAGAGGCAGTCGGAAATGCCTGAAGTGCGGAAGGGATCATGACGTGACAGATTGCGAAGCAGAAAACATTCGGTGTGCTAAGTGTGGCGGAGAACATACAGCGGACTCCGCGCATTGTCCAGAATATCAAAGGGAGGCGCGGATATTAAAACTGCGGACGTTACACAGGTGCTCTCATATGGAAGCGAGGGGTAAAATGGAGAAGCCTTCCAAAACCCCAGCAACATATGCTCAGGCAGTCAGGGTAACACCTGGATCCCAGGCGGGAGACGGAGAGAAGGTAAGACAAACACAGAGTAGACCGGCTACGGTCACTGCTAGAGTGGATGAGGGGGTGTTGCAGAAGCTTATCTCTAGAATAGCGAACTTGGAGACTGCTATGGTGGTGTTACGTAATGAACTTGTTGAATTGCGGAAGTCGTGCCAAGGGAGTCCTTGCGCGGTGACTCGGGAGCCAGCAGGTAGACTCGGGAGAACATGCATCCTCCGGGGTCGGGAAATGCGCATTTCAAACGTCCTTCCCAAGGAGAGTTGCAGAGCAAGATAGGGAGAACACCTAAGAAGAAACGCGGGGGAAAAAAGATAGATGCTCTTCCCCCGGGCACATCGGAATCAGAGGGTCTTGTATCCGACATGGAAATCGGCGACAGGACGGGCAGAACAGAAATTACAGACGATTACTGCGTAGCATCACCAGCGGAGTTGGCAAAACTCCGTCGGCGCCCATCTCTTACCTCTATACTGAATGTCTGACAATCGGCAGGGGAGGCGGGATTTTACGATTGTTCACTGGAATGCACACGGATTACGGGCTAAGAAAGACCTTCTACTGATGGAGCAGTGGTTTCATACTGTGGATGTGCTCATGATCCAGGAAACGTGGTTAACGGGAGAACAGTCTTTTACCTTACCGGGGTTCACTATTTTTCGTTCTGATCGGTCTACCGGGCCGGGGGGCGGGCTGTTGACGGCGGTGGCTGACAAATGGCCGGTCGTGCTCCAATCGCCGGGCCTTGGTGCACGAGGGTTGGAAACTCTGGAGGTGAGAGTTCTTCTCAGGGAATTCTCTTTGTCATTGGTCAATGTATACGCCCCGACGGGGATTCAGGATGGCGGGCAACTTGCGGGCTGGCGGTTGGCTCCTTCTGAATCCCGTATTATCGCGGGCGATTGGAACGCTCACCATCCCTATTGGGACATCGGTTGTACTCGCCCGGGCAGGGTTCTGTTTGATTGGATATTGTCAAACGGGTGGTGTTGTTGGAATACGGGTGAACCCACCTTTTTCCACAGGTCGGGGTCCTTGGCGATCGATTTAACGCTGTGTACCCCTGATTTGTTGGTGTTAGCAACGTGGAGGCCATGTATGGACACTGTGACTAGCGATCATGCTTCGATCCAGTTGAAGGTGTCTCTTTTGACATGGGGAATGGAGGGTTTGCAGCCAAGGGTCCGTCAAAATACGGACTGGGGTCGGGTTTGGGACTGCATCGCTGTATCATGGGAAAAGGAGGCTTCCCGTCCGAGGGAATATTCTGCCTTCTTCGGTGCTCTTCAGGTGGTGTGTAATGAGTTCACCAGGTATCAAAGGATTCCCCCCGGGGGGCCCCCCGTGGTGGACGGAGGAATGCAGTCTGATCCGGGCGAAGAAGCGACAGACCTTTAGAAGGGCTAGACAGTGGGGGTCGTTAGGTTGGTGGTACAGGTATAAACAACTGGGTGCATTCTTACGTTGGAAATCTAGGCAGGCTCGCCGGGAGTGGTGGGGCCGGATGTGTGAATCTCCTCCAACGAAATCGACGATTTACAGGATTTTCAAGAAGTTGCGGACGCCACAGAGCCTGACGATTTCCCATCATGTACTGATTGAGCAGGTCACGATAACGTCGCTGGAATTACAGGCGGAAGCATTGGCAAATTATTTTGTGAGACTAAGGCCAACAGGAACGTTTGGCCCACTCCCGGCCCCCACTGGGCCGGGTGTGCTCGTCGAGGAAGGGGATTTCCAAGAGACGGAACTGGCAAGAGTCCTTGGGAGGCTATGGAATACTACCCCTGGCCCGGATGGGGTCACGGTCCATCTATTGCGGGCGCTCCCCAGGGTGGGGCGGGAGGCCCTTCTGGAGGTAATGAACAAGATATGGCACACTGGCCAACTTCTGGCGAAGTAGCGGTTGGCATGCATCCTTCCGATCCTAAAACCGGGGAGACAGGCGACTTCGTGCGCGGCATACAGGCCGATCTCGCTCACATCAAATGTGGCAAAAATATTTGAACGTATGCTCTTACAGCGGTTACAGAGGACCTTGTTGGCATCCAACATGTTTCACGAAAATCACTTTGGTTTTATCCCTTATCGAGGGGCGGAAGATGCGGTAATACTTATCCACCACACTATTTCGGTGGCTCGTGCTCAAAAGAAGTGGGTGTATTTGGTATCACTCGACCTGGAGGGTGCGTATGACACGGTCCATCAGGACGGTTTAATTGCCAAGTTAGTACAATACGGGTTCTCGGGGAAAATGCTTCGGTGGTTGCGTGACTTTATAGTGAATAGGGAGTTTCGGGTCAAGTGGAGGGGTGTGCTCTCGGGACCCCATAAGTTCAATTACGGTGTTCCGCAAGGGAGCGTGTTGGCTCCGCTTCTTTTCTCCCTGTACATGGCAGACATCTTGATTCCAAAGGACGTGGTGAGCGTTTTGTATGCCGACGATCTTTACATAATAGCATCGAGCACTCAGGCGGACATGGCAAGGTTCCGGATCCAGAGGGATCTGGATCATATTGAGCACTGGTCGGCCCAGTGGAGCATGGTATTCTCCGCGCCGAAGAGCGGGGTCATTGATTTTTCATCAAAGCGGCACAGGCCGACTGTTCCCCTAAGGCTCGGGTCAGGAATAATTCCACAGGTCACGTCGATGCGTATGCTGGGGGTATTTCTTAATGAGACGTTCACATGGAGGGCGCACGAAAGTTACCTTTGTAACAAGTTAACAAGGGCGGGATCGTGTCTCCTTTATTTTGCTTCTCGGCGGAATGGAGTGCGTCAGAGAGATCATCTTCAGTTGATCAAAACGGTTCTTCTCCCGATGGCGGAATACGGGGCGCCTCTCCTGGACGGAGCGCCACCGACTGTCATCAACCGGATCGAAAAGCCTATCCACATGGCCCTTCGGGCGGCTCTTGGGGTACCACTCACTACTTCGCTGCCAGCGTTGTATACGGAAGCGGGCTACATCGGGTTAAAAGTAAGGCTTTACTTAAGGACGATCAAACATACAGTGACGCACATATCGAGGGGCCGATTTAGCTCGCTCTATCGTATTTATTCGAAACGGCATGGTCTGGATCACTATAGATGGCGGAGATACCAGGAACCATACGTGATCAGGGCGGTCTCTCATTTACGGAACCTAGGGATAGCGATTACGAACATATATCGACAACAGAATCTGCTGCCGACTGTCGAGCAGATGGGCTCGCGGATAAACATTGATGTGTTCAGGACTGGTTGTATTCGTCTACCTGGCGAGGACAGGGTGGCGTTCGACGAGTGGGTGCACAGATACCGAGTTGGGTGGTTTTTAATCGGGACAGATGGGTCGAAGTCACCCAATCGGACGTCGATGGGCGTCTTCATATTGGAGGGGCGGAAGAGTGAGACGTGGGAACTGGATGTTCAGTGTGGGGTATTCGGGGCAGAGGCTGCTGGGATTTTGCGGGGGATGGCTCTGTGTTTCCAAAATCCTTGTCCGACCATTCTAAGTACGGACAGTCGTTCGGTGCTCGAGGCGTTGACTAACGTGGGGTACACTTCGGAAGCGATCATCATTGATATTGCGGCGGCTGTGTCGTCTTTCCCTCAGCCTATTGAGTTGTTATGGACTCCGGGGCACGTTGGTATTGCCCTTAACGAGGACGCGGATAAGGCAGCGAAGGGAGCGTGTTTAACAGGTTCCTGGAGGGGCCCGCTGTTGCCTAAAGACATTCATCGGTTAGTATGGCAGGACACTCGTAATTCGTTACGGGACCACTGGGCTTCGGTCCATAGGAACAGGGGTAGGGAGTATCCCCGTCCTTTTGACCCGTGGCCTTATCACCACGCTTCATCGCGCCGGGCGGAAACACTGCTGGCGAAACTACGGACTGGTACGGCNTAGCTAACTTCTAGTTGTTTGATTCTGTTTGAACGAGTAAGCATTTTCTCAGAATTGTCTGGTGGAAAATGTCAATTTTCCACCAGACAATTCTGATGGACAATTCTACAATAAGAAAATCGCTCCCTCTACGTAAATCAAGGTAAAACTGTAAACAAATATTAGATAATCGCTATTTTCGTCGTTTTTCAGCTCCAATTTAGCTCTAATTTACATATTTATTAACGTTATTTAAACGAATGTGTTTTGATAGAAACATTTCGAGGTAAAATTGCCCGCAAAACTAAAATACTTTTGGTTTAATTATTTCCCGCTATTACGCAATATCTAGAAGTAATGAGTTCCCCCGGTAAATTTTTCGATTGGAAGCTTTTGATATGACCCAAAATAATAATAATTATTATTATTATTATGTTGGGTTTTGTGAGTTATACTCAGTTCACACCGGTGGCTGTGTATTATGCCGGACCAAGTCAAGACATAGCAACCAAAACAAAAACTAAAATAAGTGTGTCAGTGTATGTTTCTGTATTCAGGAATTTCCTAACAATGTGGCATGTATTCAATATAGTGGCCTTNTTATCTTAATCTTCACTATCGTTACTTTTTGCCTAGCGAAGCGGGTCCTTGCAGCTAGATTCTAGATTACTTAGAAAAACAGTCTTTTATATATATATAAAAAAAACTATACTATTACATACAAATAAAAACCCAGCGAAGCGGGATCTTGCAGCTAGTTGATAATAAATGTACACGCTTTTAATTACAGATCAAGCATTCGATTTAGATTATTGTATTTTCTATTCGTTTCCGGCTCATAGACTCAAGTTTATGTTATTACTGTTGTAACTGTGATGGCCATTTTCATGTTTTAAATTAATATTTTAAAGATTTATGTCAANCACTTAAGACTGAACTTACAGACTGTGCGTACTTTGACTCCTCTGTATTGGCCTCAGGCTGACAAGTCCTCGAAGTATCATATACGTCTTCTAGAACAGTATATTCATCGATCGGGTCGCTTCACCTAATAACATGGCGCTGTAATTCGGAGAAAAAGCGATTATAGGCTGCAATCTCCATATAAACGAGAGAGAGAATGATGAATGATGAATATTTTTATGCAAGTGAATTATGACGACGTTGCCACTCGCGAAGGTAGAGATATGCAAATTTTTAATTTGTCTCGCTGTTGCAGCGTTTGCCGGACGTGTGTTTGTTGTGCGTTTGCGATTTTTTTTTCTCGTACGACGTTTCGAATATTACCAGAAATGATAATGGCGAAGACTTCTGAAGACACCTTTCCCGAGGAATTTTGGAGTAAGTGCAATTCGCAAATGTTCTTCGGGTTATTCGCAAACGAATATGACGATTTAGGGCTGGATGAGAGAATTCCGTCGGATGCGAAACTGGCTGTAAAACTTGGTTTACGGGGCGTCGAAGATGTATGTACTAATTGTTCCCGTCCGTGTAAATTAGTGTCCCGTGCCGACAGGAAATCCGTAGCGATGAGATGCGCCTATTGTAAAAGAAATGGTTCCGCCTTCGTCGGTACTTTTAAGGAAGAGCAGAGGGGTTACATGGCATACAATGAAGCCCGGAAAACGCTTCCAATTGTTTGCGAAACATTTAAGATTTATATATCCATGATCGGGTAAGATCCCCGCGTGGAAGGAACCAGCAACCGTGCCCGCCGCCCCAGAAACCCGAAAGAAAAAGGAGGAAACGAAAGGAAAGAAAAATAAAAAAGCCGAGAACAGCACGACCGTTCGCCGCAAAAGAAAATCCAGAGAACGATAACAAAGTAAGTAATTTTTTTAAATTACTATTTTTTCGTAACTCCCGAGTAACACCGCTAATAGACGGCGGCGGAGCCGCCGCCAAACAAGATGGCGACCGGAAGCACCGACCGAACTGGTGACCGCCGCCATCTTGGACTACCTAGGTATACAATAACCTTTTAATTTTCGGCAGCATGAATTTCGCGATGTCTCGTAGGATCGCTGTAAATGCTTCTTTTTTGGGTTCTCTCTTCTCCACATAAACTCGATAAGATACGAGTTGAGATGATGACGCGAAGTACCTCTTCGGACCCTGTTTCTTGCAACTTCCCCATAACCGCTCCACGTTGTGTGTGTGACATCCGGAATCTGCATTGACAAAATTTAATTTGTGATTCACTTGGTAATGAAAGTAACTAGCTTCTTGCAATTGTTTGGTATTATAACCTTTCCAACAATCCGAATAAATTGTGGTTCCTTCATTAACGTGTTTTACCACTTCCCTCAACAAAGTTTCTGCCGATCGATTTGGCACTGGAACTAAGAAACATTCCTTTGTCTCTCGGCATAGTTGTCCGAACACCCATTGAAGGGGTAAAACGCGGCCGACGTTGTACTTCCTTGTATACATGGTTTCGTCTATTTCTACTATCTTGTCGACACCGCCTATCTTTCCGTCACAATGATTCATTAAAGAATTGGCGCAGACCTCCCTCATATAGCTGTTCCAATCGACGATTGTAGAAAAGTCGAGTCCAATTTGCACTTTACAAAAGTCCAACGAATAAAGTTCCTGTGACCAAACGTATATGAAACGTAAAGCATACCAATAAATACGTGAACCAATAAACCAGTTATCGTGAACCAATAAACCAGTTATCCGTCCGAATGCCGCTTTTCTGCCGACACGCCCTAACATGGCATCTCCATTTCGGAGCTTTTTCACAAAAATACACTCATTGGATGGTTATTACTGCAAATTCGTTCAGAATGCAGAATTCCTTTTTTTTTTTTTTTTTGAAAAATACCAACAGCAGCAAGTTCATCGTTTGGTAATTCCCAAAAGATAAAGTTCATTTTCGGATTTAGATAACGAAACTCACAATGTCACGTAACAAGCAAGTTGAACATCTAATTTACATGAGCGCACGAGCAAGTAATGACGTCAAATCAACTTAACCTGTATCAACGGTTAAAGACAAATAGTTAAAAAGACACTTTAAAAACAGGAAAAATATTTATTACAATCATAAACATATTAAAAATAACCGCACTTCACATTTTATAAAAATACAACGAATTTAACAATTTCTGATATTTCTGAACAAAATTTAACAATACGCTACTAAACAATTTGCATAATCACTCGATTATGCAAATTGTTTAGTAGAGTAATTGACAACTATGACAGTCAAGCGATTTGTATAATTGACCTGAACGATTTTTTCATTTTTACATCGTTATCAGGAAATTTTCTACTTCTAACATCTGAATTTACTAATATATTGTTATTTCGACATTTCCATTCGAAATCGCGACCACGATCGGCATATCCGAATAGTGTTCTCTTAACCCATAAGTACCAGTTTTTCATCTATGTATACTTGCCACAAGAGACGCCTGTACGTTAGTACTCTTTCAAAAAATATTTTCGATTTAAATTAAATTTGATTNGATGCAACTCTCTTCATTCACATATTCTTCTATATAGCTAACAGCTACTTAAACAGGATATTCAATCGTATATGGTTCCTTATGCACTCTCGTAGGTACTGGGCTCTATAGGCCAGAATTACCCATATTTCAGACTCCCATTCGGAACATTATCAGCAATATTTTGCGAATAAATGCCAACATAACTTCACAGCCATCTTACTCAAATCCAGAAAATAAAAAAAGCAAGATTTCCTGTTAGACATACCCAAGAAGAAAAGACAGAACGACATTAAAATTGCAGAAGTGCAAAATGTTTGCTTGGAGTAGTCATAAATATATATATATCATCTGCAATGATTGTTGGTAAAATTCAACAATTGTGTAGAACTTTGAAGGACTTGTATGAGAATATATTTTGAAAAAAAATTTGTAGAAATAAATGTAATAGCCAAATTATGGTATTTATTTTTAGCCTAAAGATGTCTGCACACTCCACCATAGTAGTAAAAGTGTATAAAAATAACAGTAGCATTTGGGTTAAATAGGGGAACCGACTAATTTTATATATGTCAATATTAACGTTTTAAGTAAAATTAAAATGTTTGTTTTCTTGTGATTTGTACTTTTTTAAGTTATTTTATTGTTTAGCTTTCGTTTTATATCAGGTTTATTTGTAATATAAAATGTAAGATTAAAAATAACATTAACTCGAGATTAATTTCATGCCCATATGAATAATAGCAATTATGATTTTTAATCGTTTATATACCACTACAAATAATTAAGTTTAAAGCACAGGAAAGCCCTAGTCATTAGTTTACTTGATAAAAATAATAAAATATATTTGAAAGTTTAATATTGATATTGAAAAGTTCAAAGCCTTTAATAATTAAATCCGCCTTTAATAATAATTAAAAATCAGCCTTTCTAATACTGTTTTAAAGAAATATTCGATGTTATCGAATAAGTAAAACGTAAAATTATTTATATAACTGAATGACTGATAATGTGAATAAGTAAAGAAGATTCGTAGTATAAAGTACAATATGTAAACATCATTTTCTGTTCGTGTTTGGATGATGCTTTTAAGCATCATCCAAACACGAACAGAAAAATTTGTTTAACTCTATAATGAATCTAAAATCACACTGAAAAGTGGAAAAACATGCAAATTTTCTTAAATATTTTTAGGTACGGATTGGTTTTATTTCTGGAAACATTTTGTAAATCCCATCCATTATCAGTGCAAATAAACATTGATTTTAAAAATTACATTCTAAAAACATAGACTGAGTTAGGGATATCATTAAATATGAAAATTCGAGATCTTCTTTAATTAATTTATAATTTAGACTCCTTCTCAATCTTTAGAGAAACATTATTAAATTTCATGTCTCTATCTTTGTGTCTTATAGTATATCAGTAACTATTAAACTCAAAGTCAATTATATTCTTCTAGTATAACTTTTAATATAAAATTTTGACGAAAATCAACAATGTTTAAATAAAATTCAACGGTTCCTTCTTTATGGTCCACATATAATTTGACACTTTATTGACACTTCATATGTAATTCTGTAGTGGAAAGTTACAATTTTGAAGTTTATCAAAGTTGGTATTTTTATAGAAACAATGTAATTTACNAAATTGTTATTCTTTTTTGATTCAGAGATATAGAAATTCTATTTATAAATTTAATTTTCTTTCTAAATTACAATTTAAACCCTCCTGAAATAAAATAAAATTGTATTCAAACATATTTAATTTAACTGAAAAACAATTTTAAACTTAAATATTCTACTCAAATTTTCATAATCAGGATATAGAATAAATCTGAGAGAAAATATGTTTTAAAGTTTCTGGTGTATAAAGAATAAAATTTAAAATGCACTTTCTTTAACATTTATAAAATTATCATTAGTATACTAGGACATATCTGAAAATATTACATATATTGAATTTTTATATCTATATATAAATATCGGTAATATGAGAGAGGAGGAGAGAAAGGAGGGAAGTAATATGTGAAATATTGTGTAGAAAAATTTCATTTTACAATTGTATTATTGAAATAAGATTTAAGAATATATTGAATAAAGGATATTCTTTAAATATATTATCGATTTTAAAGTACTCTAATATCGAAATTCGAAAATTGATTTATATTCAGCGAATGGAAAAAACATCGAAATAACATATGTCATCATAGAGTACGTTGATGGCATTCTTAAAATTGAGGTTAAAAATAAATTCATATTGAGATCTGTCAAAAATTTTGTGATAGCAAGAGATTTAAGAAGATTTTCTTCCGCATGAAACTCATCAACTCGAAATGGGAAACCATAAAAGCATAAAACAAAGAATTATTCCGGAGATTAAATAAATCGGATTATAAAAATAATTTAGTACATCTAAAAAATTTTATAGCATCTGCACAAAAATAGATAACATTGCAAAATGAAAGATAGTAATAAATGTACATATCCGAATAGCGTTCTCTTAACCCATAAGTACCAGTTTTTCATCTATGTATACTTGCCACAAGAGGCGCCTGTACGTTAGTACTCTTTCAAAAAATATTTTCGATTTAAATTAAATTTGATTCGAGTTAATTATTTTAATTAATTGGTTACATTTATCTTTTTAATGATTATCGATAATTTTTTTCACCATCTGTTACTTTTTTAGTAAAAATTATTTTTGTTTTCATAATGTAATATTAAAGTTTTCTATCATCTAATCTGCATGTTCACGTTTCTTTATACAGCGCTGCTCGATCGCTAAACAGCAAAGCGTTTCTAAACTATAGCGAAAGCTGTTCGTGACGTCATTTTCTCTACACTCTCGCTAGATAAAAAAACGCGACTCATTTGAATAGAGACTTTGAGCAAAGTCATTTTTCATTTGACGAAATAAACACGAGAATAAATTATACGCTCGACTCGTATTGAGAATCGTAAGCACGATTTTACACTTTTAGCAGAGCTTGCCATTTCACAATTCATCTTTTTTCTTTTGTAAGGTAATACAAATAACTACATTGTATTTGTAAAGAAATAGCCTGCCTACTTTCGAAGATTCTCTCTGTCTTCTTTTCTAAATAGTTTCAACAAAGTTTCAATCCTGTCCATGATAGCTAAATATATTCGGTTTGTTTCGTTCAGTACGAATACGACACAACCGAGAATAGTCGAGATAACCTCGAAGTAGATGAATATTACGTGATTTTGTCGTTCTCGTGTTCGTTTCGTCAAGTGAAAAGTGACTTTGCTAAAAGTCCATAATATTATTCTGATAGGAATTAACATTCTTGTTCGATATTATTCGAAAAGAAATATTATTTAAACAACGTAAAAGGACTGAAGATAACGTGCAAAAATGGAAATCTTTTTAACAATCGAACTATACAAAAATTAGTTTTATCAACCAGGAATGACCACAAGAATTTATTTTTATTCAAATAACTGATTTGATTTAAACGAGACAAGGGTAATAATCGTAATTACGTCTTTAGATTCTAATGAATTTATAGCTAGAAAACATATGTTATATTTTATTAATTTAAAATGTCATTTTAATAAAAAATAAATTTTGTCTTCCTTATATTGAGAATGATTTTTGGATTAATCGAAATATTCAATACTGAGTAATTTAGCAAAACTATCTTTTGTGTTATAAAGAATTCTTTTTAAAATACAGAAGAAAAAGTTTACCTATATAATGCAATACTTTACTTACATAAAACAGGATGAATCGAACCTCAGACCTCGTTATATACTTTATACAAATACCTTTCATATAAATTGTATTTTTTTTTTATTCAGGAGAAAATATATTAATCTATTTCACTTGTAAATTTAAATGTTATAAAATTATTTAAAATTTTAAGTTTTATTAAAAATAAATAATTTTAAAATACAGTATAAATTTATTCAACTTTTCAAAAAATTGAAATTAAATGTAACCTTATTTTGGATTTCATTTTCATATCTAAACATTTATAAACGGTAAGAATAGTATTTTGTAAAAAGTAAATATTTTTAAATATTAATTTAACATAAATTAGATGATTAATTAACATTTCTATTTTTTAAATTGCATTATCTTATCAATTGCAAATTAATCAAATACAGATATAAATTGTTTTGAACTTATATATACTGATATTGTGTACGAAACGATAATCTAAACGTCAGTAAGCCGTGATTCAAACCAAATTAAATTCAAATTGATATTAACGTTTATTCATGTGTTAATGCCTTG